GAACGATTCGACAAAAAGGGGCATCCGGTAGATTTTAAGGTCGGAGATTTTGTATATTTTCAAAATGAAACCCGGAAAAATAAGTTAGACGCCTATTATTTGGGACCCAACGAAATCGTGGGAATAACAGATAAAGGTTGCCTGATCATCGAAACAGTAAACGGGAAAAATATAATTAAACATCCGAGTAAACTAAAATTAGCGTCCGAATAAAAAGAATACGGTCTGTTGCAGATCAAACATCGTTCAACATGCTGATTAATTTTCTTTTCCACCTATTCCTGAGCATTGTCATCTCCAACGCAACTGATTTAGACGCAATCGATTTACAGCCAGTGAAATATAATCCTGGCCTCTTATACGATCCATACAAAAGAGCGCATATGGTCGAAAGAGAATGGAACATTATATCTACCATCGATATAGGAGCCATCGCAAATCAAGATCATCAAAATTGGAAAGCTCCCGTCACTGAAATGATCGCGTCTAGCGGCTGTAACATAAGTTTCACCGCAATAGAATGTTCCTGTATATTACAAGAAAACCTACTAATAGACTTAAACGACGAGAAAAATTCAATCCTGCGAAGAATTGAATCTACATTAGAAATCACCGAGGAAGAAACCCCTTATCAGCGTAACCGTAAATCACCGTGGTTCGGTTTCGTCGGTAAAATCGCGTGAGAAGTATTCGGCTTGATAAATTTCGATGACCATGAACACCTGTCACAAGAAATTGATCGTTTATACCAAGATCAAAGAGAAGTAACAGTCCTCGTAAACAATGCGACTCATATTATCCGGGCAGAAATAAATAAAATAATCGACGACGAAGCAAAAACACGGAATAAATTACGACGATTATCCGAGTCGATGTCCCACTATCAGCAGAAACTTGAGGAGGAAGAACTCCGGATGAAACTGCGAATAAACCTCATGCTCTTGTCAGAAAGATGGATACAACACCTTAATCGTTGGATCCGCTACCTACAAAGAGTAGAGTTAGCGATTGAAACAGCCAGAAGAAGTCATATATCTAATGACATTCTAACTTCGGATCAGCTGTTAAAAGCAACAGCTGATATAAGAAGACGTTACCCGGAATTAAACCCACCTCAACCGAAAGACCATGTAAACATCCAAGGTCTGTTAGACGTAGCAAAAATCGTAATCGGACGCACTGGACAAAAATTAGTAATTTTTATCACACTACCACTATTCCACCCAGTTACTTACCAACTTTACAGCCTAAAACCAATTACGACGTCTCACAAAGTCAACGGGATTGCCAGAGGATTGACAATCAAACCCAAGAAAAACTATCTTGGCATCGACGCACTCCAGTCACAATACTTCATAGTGGACGAAGAATTTATTAAGGCGTGCAGATCCATCGCAAACGACCTGGCTTGCCAGCCAAACGTCCCCATAAAAAGTATAAATGAAGACAGTGACTGCGAAGTGTTACTTCTAATGAAGCCATCATCCAAAATATTAAACTCGTGTGACGTTCGAATTCTACAAAAATGTAATGATGAAATGTTCAAATTACATGAACCTAATTCATGGGCATATTCGATCTGTAAGCCTCAAAAATTCATAGGAACATAAGCGACGCAGGCGTGTTCAAATTAAAACCAGGATGCGTATTAAGCAATGGAAAAATATTTGTAAAAGGGACGTCAGAAGAACAAATACCAACGAGCACTCACGTGTTCCTAGCTCTGAACATCGAACCTTTAGTTGCTAACTGAACAAATCAACCAAATCCCCCGCACAAACTTACAAATATTCCACTAGATCCATTACCTAATGACGATCCTCACTCCCAATGGGGAGAAAGCCTAGAAGGCACAAACAATCGCCTGACGCAAATCGGGTTACACCGTCGGGAAGAAGGACAACACCGATACGTTACAGCAACAAATTCTGGAATAATAGTCGCAATAATAGGATTTATTGCCCTCATTGCTGGATTATATTATCGTCAAATAATACAAGAATTTTTAAAGAAAAGCAATCCAGGGTACTGTTGTAGCAGAAGTCGTAAAAATCCAAGAAACGGTGTCGACACCTTCAACCCAGCGGAAGATACCGTAACGACTTATTGGACTAACCCAGAGAACAAGAAGTTGAACCCAAGTCCAGCGCCCCGCAAGGAAAAAGAAAATAATCTACAAAGCAAAAACGAAACTACTCCGAATTCAGAATCACCATCCACGTCATCTCAACATCCACCAAGCACTCCTAGGAAGACAGAATCAGCCGGGAGCACCAAATCAAAGGGAGTTCGCCTGGCAAATTACGAAGGAGCGTAAAAACATATTACATATATTCTACTTATGTGTTTTATTTTTTTTTTATTATTAATATAACTTTATAGTTTTATTAACTCTTATGAGTATTCCAAACATATTAAAATTAATTCTGAGAGAAGGAAAGAGGATATCTAAATTATTAAAATGAAAATTTTTAATTTTTATATTTCAAATTTTCAAAAATTAGTAAAATGAAAATTTTCAATTTTTATATTTCAAATTTTCAAAAAAATTATTAAAACGAAAATTTTCAATTTTTATATTTCAAATTTTCAAAATTTATTAAAATGAAGATTTTCAACTTTTATATTTCAAATTTTCAAGACCAAGAGTTTCGGTTTTGATTTTTTTTTTGTACCCTCAAACTCTTCTCAAACCCTGTTTTCTTCTCTCCAATAATAAATTTTCTTTTAAAGAAACAAATAACTACTTATACATATTTAATAATTTATCATCGTATTGTTTAAGAATAAACACAAGGCCCTGGCGTTCGATTGCATCAACGTCTTCACCAACATTCTTAATCGCGTCATCCAAGTCCCGCAGTTTGCACGAGTAGTAAATAATAATAATAATAATAATAATAATAATAATAATAATAATAATAATAATAATAATAATAATAATACGCAAAATCGTGAAGCGTTCCACATTTTTTTAACAAATATAAATAATGCTGTGAAGCGGGAAAGAATAGGAGTTACGGATAATTATTACGTGAAGCGTTCCAACATTCACGTAACAGGATAATTGGTAGGAAAGGATTGAGAAAGGATTGTGGAAAGGATCATCTTAATGTGAGTTTATAGAATATGTGAGAAAAAATTATTAGATAGCTCGGACTGGGATTCGAACCCAGAACCTTCCGAAGACATGTCGGCTACTCTACCATTTGAGCTATCCGGTCTATACTAAATTTCCTTTCACTTATTCTATATACATTAAGCCACACCGTCCATCTTACGGCTAGCATTTTTAACAAATATAAATAATGCTGTGAAGCGGGAAAGAATAGGAATTACTTGGTGTGCGTCATATTGTGCATTTCAATTTTTTTAAAGTCCTATTAAATAGATTTTACGAATTTAATTAAAAGTAAAATATTTTGCAACAACGCACACTAAATACGTTCCAAAATTGTTTTTTTAATTTTTAAATTTACAACAAAATTTTTTTTAATTTCCGAAAATCATAAACAATCATATCGGTTACTTGGATTTTTTAATTTTTTTATTTTATATCTTTTTGTAAAGAAAAAACTAATTTTTTTTTCTTAATAGTCTTATGAACGTGGACTTGGCGCGATTTTTTTACAGTGAAACTGTTTTTGTTCGGATTTTAGTATTTTTTGTAATTATAATAAAAATTTACAATTGGTACCAACTTAAATCTCGCGTTGGCTGCATTTTTTAAAGCAAACTATTCCCTTAAAGCTACAGTTTATGTAAAAATAATTCCAGCACACCCTGGCGGGTGTAGATGCAAGCTGTGAAATATCTTTTTTTAACTGTAGTTTCCCATCTAATGAAGCATTACTATGCATTCTCGAATTATTTAGTCTGTGGCAGATCACTTTGCCCATCGAAAAAAAGTCAGGATCGAAATTTTTGCGTTGCTATAGTTTGTGCTGATCAAATTTAGTAATTTCAAGTAGATTAATTGTTATAAGTGAATATAATTAATTAATAACAGTAAAATAAAGTATGAATTACTGTTATAATATACAATTTAGAAAAAAAAAGTACCGTAGAATTAAATAAAATTTTGCAACCTCAAAATACCGTTCTGCTTACAGTAAACACAGTCGGTAGTCTGGCGCTCCGTTGACAACGGATTTGAACGGAACTTGGCACCAGATTCTACCGAATCTGTGGATGTTATTGTATTCTTGCGGAGTAACTTTTTTTTGGCCTTCGTATAACTTGTCACTCACATATCTTGTAACTTGCTGTTCCACAGACCATAAAACGTCGATAATCAAATTTGCTCGTCGTCGCATTATTTTGGCTTGTGCAGTTTTTAAGTAAGCTTCATAGTCAATAGCTATTCCATCCAGTACTGAGATCTAAAGAACAAAAAAATATTAATACCAGTTTTCTTTTAGTTCATTATCCTTATATCAGGTTTGTTTGTCATTAATTCCTCATTCAAGTAATCAAACTTGAAAATACTCCATTCTATTTTAATTGACTATAGAAAATAAAAAGAAATTGATTTGCTGTGATATTGAATTTCTAGCAATCGTTATTAAATAATAAATTAAATATTCGGATATTTATAAAATTTGCTATAAACTTTTCTATACAGAAAAAATTAATAGACAAATTTCCAACTTCAAAAATTAATTGAGTTTAATAGATATATAAAATATTTAAAAAAAGAAACGATAATGATAATTCATCAATCAGTAAATTCAAAATGATTAGTGAAAAAATGTAGCAAATTTTACCAGACTATTTACAAAGTAAAATCTTACGACTATTGTTTATAAGGATTTTGTAATTACCGATACCTATAGTATAAGTATTATATAATGAATGTAGTTACGTCAGCGAAATTTATTTAATATAAATTATATTTCCAACTTCACCTGGTAATTTTCATCAACACGTGGAAAATCCTGGGCATCTTTTTCTGCATTTTGTTCATTTTGTCGTGGGTCATTTTGCTGTTGATCATGTTGTCATTGCTCTGAATGATTCGCTCGTGTCACCTGTGATTGGCGTTTCAGGTTTCTTGATTTTTGGAGCAGTAGGTTATTTTCTCTTCGCAATTTTTCTAGTTGTTTCATCAATTCCGCATTATTGATCGCTACATCCTTACCGTTTGAATTTTTTTCAATTAGAATATCCTAATAAAAATTATTACGAATTAATCCATACTCCATTATTACTAATCCATACTATGATGCTAGCATCATATATAGAAAATTTATAATAAATTATTAATTTGATTGATTCTAATTATACAATTACGCATACCAAATGATTTATTATAATTAAGTTATTTTATAGAATATAATATTCTTCAAATAAATGCAGTTGTAGAATAAAAAAAAAAATTACGACTATTATAGTTGATGAGAAACTTAAATCTATGATATTTTTTTTGTAACTTACATTTTTCTCCTGTTGATTCGAATTTCCCGATGTTCCACTAGATAAAGCATTATCTGCTGGTAATCCAATGCTTGGAATAGACGTAAAAGTACCGGGTTCATTATGAATAGGTTTAACAGGGTTGGGTTCAACAGGATTAGGTTCACCAGGATTGGGTTCAACAGGATCAGGTTCAACCTCCTAATAATGTAAAATTCATAATCATACATCGATTTAAAACATATTGATTGGAGTATATTGTCAAAGTAAAATATTGTTTTTCATGATATTATTCAGAAAAATATATCAATTCTTCAGCTCAGAAATGAAGTTTTGAAAACTCAGTACCAGTAATAATGAAAATTAAGTAACAATAATAATAAACTTACAGTTGTTTGTGCATTTTCTTTCAATTTCTTTCTCATCCTCTCAATGATAACTCTTTCTCTTTGGGACACATTTTTAGATTGTACGATTTTAATTTTTTTCTGAAAAATATTAATGATGAATTAATTTATAAAACTACAGATTATATTACATTTAATTTAACTTTTTTTACATCATTTCAAATCTGTTAACAGAATAAAAAATTAAATTTTAGTGTATTTTTTTTCAATATATTACTAAATTTTTTTAAATACTATTTTCTCTAACATCAATATTAAAAAGTAAATTTAAAAAATCAATTTTAAATTGTATCAAAATTTAAAAAAAAAGTTAAAAATATGAAGTATTTAACAATAACAAATTCAAGAACATTGATTAAAAAATTGTAATTACAAATAGATAAGGAAATTACTACCTTTTGAGCAATAGCCTGGTTCGTTTCTCGATTTGAAAGAACCTTCCTTGATGGTACTGAATTATCTTTCATCATTCCAGGCGAGAAGTTGAGCCTCTTAACTGGTTTCAATCTTTTTCCACGGCCAAGCATTGGACTTTTTATTTTGCTTGACAAATAATCTTTGTCATCTTCAATATATCAATTTAACAAAACAAAATAAAGTTGTTGCATTGAAATTTTATGAAAAAAAAATTATAATTAAAATTATATAGTTTTGATGAAAAAGTATGAATCGTTAAAATAAATATGAAAAGAAACTTACCACTTATTTCTATAACAGTACAAGCTATCAATTTCTTGTTGATTGAAACACGGAGAGTTTTACTGCGGCCATTATCAGCTTGTTTGATCAAATCCTTTGTTCCACGGATTGTGTATTTGTTATCATCATCGCTCAGAAAGATGTTTTGGAGCTGGACTACCTTCTTACCTCCTGATGTCACTTGAATGATAGCGAAATCCATTGCTATTGATACACTCGAAAATAGATCAATGTCTATGTATTGATTACACAAGTAAATCGAGTAAAGAAACAAAACTATCTTCTAATTCTTTATGTTTAATTTATCAAATAATTTTAATAGTAATCAATTTTTTTATAATTAATCATCAAAATCTAGACAAATAATTCCGTTGCTATTCAATAATAATAAAATAGCATCAGCGTTGATCTGATCGTACTTTTTTCTTGCGCAACTTTTTTTTTTGTTCTTAAAAATGAAATAATATAACCAAGATGTCATAACCAAAGGATATACTTATTTGTATTTCCCACAATTTCTTCAAGAATTAAATCATCTAATATTCACAATTATTTTAAAATGTTATGATATCATAAAAATAAGTATCAACAAAAAAATTTGTGCATCAAGATTTTATGATAATTCAATCGTTTAAAAATAAAAATAATTACAATACTTACTGAATAGGTGAATGAATACTTTCCAGATAGTCCAGTAAAAAGTTAAATAAAACCATGATCTGACCAGTTTTGGCGCAATGAGTAAAAATGTGTTCATTAATACTTAAATAATGATATTATGAAAAAAATTTTGTTTAAAATTAAGGGGAAAGGGATGAAAAAAATAAAAAAAGGGTTGAAAAATGCCTTTTTTTTAAATAACTTTATAACGGTAGGAAATAGAAAAAAAAAGTTTCAAGTAAAAGTTGTAGAGAAAAAAATTCTACACAAAAAAGTTCCTCTTCATTTTTTTGTTATCTGCTTTAGTTTAGCTGCAAAAAATAAAAATTAAATTTGCTTTGTAATTAATTATAAAAACTTACTAGAATTATTACGGCCCTGTACCACGCAGCGCGCGCATCATATAAATATGTACTAACACTACTACATATGTTTTCTCCTCTACAAATCATACAGCTGACTGAAAGTTGCAATAACGTAATGCGTGCAACTGCGATAGACAATTAACCTACAACTTACTTGTATTTTTTTAACTCGAAATGTCTAATTTAAAGTATTTAATGGAATGTTGGAAATTCTTCTCAAACATTTTGTTGAAAATTGCTATTAAAAAGTTGGTTTTAGATGCATGTTAGTCAAATTTAATAATATTTTTATGTACATATCAATGAATATTTTTTTATTAAAAAATTAAAAAATTTAAACACAAATAATTAAACTAAATTATCATATTTATAATTCTTTTAGAAATTAATAAAATTAATCTCTTCCTCTTGATTATATAAGTCTTCATTTTCATCAGAACTATTGTCTGAATGTTCAAATTCGTATGTTCGCTCAGCTACATCTGGATCCATATCCTGATCATTTACATCATCATTATCATCATAATTTTCATCTCATTCAATCCCAACTTTTAATGTAATATTATGACAGCTGTTATCATTACAATTTTTGCATAATTGAGTATAACGTAATCCAGTTTTTTTGCACGTGCACCGAGCTGTGGTACAGTCACCTGTGCACCCACAGCTAATCTGTAAAAAAAATTACAAGCCTTTTAGAAATTTAATCATAAATTAAAAAGTCAATATTATTTTTTTTTATAAATTTTAATTACCAGATTTAACAAGTCCTTTGGAGCTGGATCATCAGTATTGGTGATAGGAAGCATCATAGTGGTTGTCTTTTTCCACCCCCATTCCTCTGGATTCAACTCATTACCCAACCATTCTTGAATTTGGTAAAATACACGGTATGCATGTTGACGCAGTGATGATGAAGTTGGTGGTAAAACTGCTAGCGATAGTTCTTTTTTTGCGTGTGCTACTGTTGATGTAAATAAATCATATCGTAATTGATCAATGGAAGCTGCCTTTGTGGATTTATTCTGTTTATATAAACTAAAAATAAACTTCTTGTTCAGCTGCTTCATAGATTGTGTCAGTAGTGCTGTGAGCGTAATAAAAGCATTAGCATGCATCCTGTAAAGCTTCCTTCTTTTGTAGCAAATTCAAGATAGATTTCTTGCCTTTTCTGAATATAGCACTTGTCGTATCACACTCTCCGAACGCATGAGCAAATAATATAAATGATTTCATATTAATATGAGCAGAGGTTGAGTAAAATGTGTACGGTTTCTTGCCACTAGAAACTTTACAAAAATCTAAATTTGAATATTCTGGAGTAAGAGCAATCATTATCACAAATAAATCAGTATCATTTCCAATGAAAATCACTGGATTATTAGTTCTTTCTTTTATTTGTATTGCTGTTTTAACAATGAGTACGTCTGCATCTTCACGAGCGATTTGAACATTTATATTATTAGATTTTAAAAAAGATGTTAGAAAATCTACAAATTTCTTTTTGTTAGCAATGTTAGATAAAAATTTAGCTTTAGTCAAAGGATTTAACATCTCAGGAGTAAAGTCTAAATCAGCAGCCATATTTTTTTCCTTACGTCGAAATCTTTCATATGATTTTACACCGATATTATCCTTATCGTATCCATCAAAAACAATGAAGGCATTTGTTCCAAAGTGACTTTTTATGTATCTCAAATATATATCAAAAATTTGCACGTACTTATAACCATGAAGCCACGAAACTTGGTGCAGTAACCAACCTCCATCAATGACAGGAATATGATGATTTATGAATTCAACAGGATTTTGTATGTTTATGCTCTTGAAAACTTTGTATAACTCACTTTTTGGTGTTTTTCTCATAAAGCCATGTTTATCAAACAAACTCAAAGGATATGGTGATAGCTCATACCGTAATGCAGTACGTGTGAGGTCTGTATTACCCCAAATTACGATAGATATTCTTTGAAATAGTAGAGAGGCGTCCACAGCAACATATTCTTCATCACCAATATGCACTTTATTTTTAGCAGCACTTAAATTTTTTACCTTATTAACATTAGATAAAGAAATATTATCTCCATTCTTATCCTCCATAGATGCCATCCCTTTTAAACCTTTTTCCACGGCTAAATGACAGTCTATATTATCTCCACCAACAATTCCAGTTGATAATGAAACAAGTGATGATCTATCTTTAAATGGAGCATGTTCATTAAACCAAAAGACAAATCTTTCAATATCCTCGTTATCTTGATTCATACGACTTTTGCATAAGTCAATATGTTGTTCACTTGTGTAGGACGATAAATTACAATACTCTTCTAAACAATTCATTATATTGAATGCTGTTGGCATTGCAAGTAAATATCTAGTTACAACACTTGGTGTAACACCTCGACCATGTTTCAAATCAGTTCCGAAAAAACGGTTCAGAGTCTGTTCGATGGTCATATCACTCCATATACCAAACCAGGCCTTATCAGTCCTACGAATTGTGAAAAAACCTTCCGATGTAAACTTATAATATTCTTCATCATCCATTTGTGACTCTAACTGAACCATGTCTTGTAAATAAACTTGTGCACTTTTAGCATACGCAAAGTGACCTGATGCATGAAAATATGGCAACATATCGCGAACAGCTTGTAAATGCAATTTCCAGTCACCCAATCTCTCAGCTTCAATAAACTGCAGTGCAATGATTACAGACTTCATATATTGAATCCATAGTTTAGCAGTAGGCCCAATTGTTTCCAGTACATTCAACTTTTCAATAAATTTATTCATCATATCATTAATAGTGCGATCAGAATTGTGATGACTCATGAACGGAGGATTAGTATCCCAGTCTTTAAAAAAATTTATAAGAAATTGTTCAAAGCCTTTGTCCAAATTTATAGTATTACAAATCGTAATACCCAGAGCAGTAAATGTTAGAATGTGCGCACGTATAGCTCTTGAATAAGTATGACCAGACATCATTTTTTTCACAGATTCACCAGCATAAACTACGCCCCACAAATCTTCTAGACCACTTCCGTCCATGATGTACCCAATCGACCGCAAATACGACAGAATCATATGAAAGCCACCTAACCGTACAACGACATTTGGCAATGTAGTTGAGTTTACAAAACAATACTTCGCGATTTCCAGTAGAGTGGTTGATCAAATGTTACAAAACAAGTTTTTTGATTCCTTCGATTACATTCTTCACGGGAATAGTGTAAAGCGGTGTTAAGAGTAGTTAACTTTGAAGAAGGCTCATTAATGTATGGCGGACACAAGATGCTGGAAACGAAATATTCTGAATCACAACATACAACTTCCATAAAGCCTCTCCATGATGGTAAATTAGGAATCTTAAATTTTTTGCCCATAAATAAGTAGCATACGATTGTGATAGTTGTGGTCGAGAACCAAGTTGTAATTTATTGACATTAACAAAAACTACCTTGTCTAACGCTGTGGAATTAAAAGCTCCATAAGGTATTATTGGTATCGTTTTCTCTGATGCTAATTCCGACGCAGTGGGCATTTTTTTCAATTTCTTGGAACCACCTTCATATGAAATTCTAGACTCAGGAGTATAACACGCAATGCCTCCTAGACAATGAAAAGTTCTTTTCCCGTCTAATGTGCTTGTATTATGGTCTGTATTATCATACACGAATTGTACAAAAGTTTCTTCGGTGATTCGAAACTCTGGAGGATCTTTTATCGTTGAAGCTTCATGCAATTGAATACTGTGATAAGAAGCACTGATTCCTAATTTCGATAAAACTTCAATTACTAGTCGTGAACCAGTTTTTCTGTAAATATAAGTGCCAAGAGCTAATTGTAAAGTAGAAATAAAACTGTTTGGTCGGAGTATTGACACAATTGAATGAGCAATATTATCACGTTTAATGCAATTTTCTTTGTCATTGTCAGTAGATAGTAAATCACCAAGAAAATATGTAAGGAGTGGAGGGATATCCTGAATGACACCATTAAGAAAGCTGCTGCTTGCAGGGTAACGATCTTTCTCATATCGAAAATCCTTTATTTCAGCTTTAAGGATTTCTGATGCGACAGTCAAAATTGTTCTCTATTGTAGTTCATCAAAGTTATCATTAGCACAAAACCAATCACTACACACACCAGCAATATTAAAAGATTTATAGTAAACAACAGGTTCTCTACCCTGACTCCGGGTAACCATTATTTCAGAACCGTACTTTTGCTGTAGTTTTTTAAATAACTTATCCGGATTTATTAAATTATCACACATGATTTTGCGCAAATCGGATAATTTAAATCTAAAATTATTACTTTTTTCAATATGGTCACAAACTTCTTGGAATGCAGTATCTTCGTGAATATTTGATGATGTTCTTGGTTCTTTAAGTGGAGGATTCATAAAAGAATCATAGCATTTTTTGTGATATCTGGCTTCAACTGCAACTAAATCAGTAGCACGTAATCTTTCTTTCAATAAAAACGCCGTATCATCATAGTCCCGATCAGCAATTTCAAGAATTCTATCAGAAAAATAGCTATTTTTAATAACATGTCCTATTTTATGAGCTTTATCCCAATTTTTGCCACAAAATATACAAAGATTTTTGTAATCGAAACTTAAACTTGATGATGTCGTCGAGTTTATGCCTGAAGAAGATACTGGTACTGGTATCGTTCCTGGTACTTGTATCGTTGATGATGATGATGGTGGTAAGTTGAGTTCACGAGGTTTCTCCAGTTTCGGTTATTTTCGAGGTATGTCAGACGATCTCAAACGAGAATATGATTTAACACAATTTTCATGGAAATCGTATGAAATTTTTCCATCCCACAATTTCCATTTATCATCAAGTCTAATTTTACTGTTATTAATTAAATTTGCCAATCCTTTGGCCTGAACAGTTCGTATTGGAGTTTCATTGCGCAGAAGTTGTCCACAAATTGTCCATGACACCGTCGTATTATCCATTTTTAATAAACTGAAAAAAAAGTTTATGCTTATTAAAATAAAATTATATTTACTTAATCTAAGTACTTAAAAAAAATTGAACATGCATTATTTATTTGAAAGCAAAAAAAATTCTGTGTTACAGCTTTAAAGTCATAAAAATTTTTAAAAAAGTGAGATTAATTTTAAGAAAAGATTTTTATAATATAAATAAAGAATTTTATCTAGAGAAAAATATCTATCTTTGCTAAATGTTGTAATAAAATGGAACTGAATTAATTGTTTACTTTTGCGACTTGATATTCAACATAATTATTAATTGAAAGACGTATACTTATGATATTTATGATTAAATTTTTATGTCAACTATTTAAATCAAAATGATTTCACTCCAATTAATAACCAATAATTAACTAATTATAAATTGTAACTTTTTTATTACTCCGTTTTGATTATCTTTAAATTTACTAAATATAGGTTAGAAGTTGAATACAACGGAATTAAATTTTTTTGTCCAATATTTTAATTTAATATACACTCTTAACTTAAATAAATAAACTGTACAATTATTACTTACTTAAAATTTGTTAATCGTCACTTTTATATTTTTATATTTCACTCAAAAAAATTAAAAATAAACGTGTTTCGAGGTTTACAAATATGTACTCTCAATATTATGTACAGACAACCGGGAGATTCTTTCCGAACATGCGCAGTCCGTTACAACACAGTACATGTAACTGTGTTAGTGCTTGTAGATGAAACGCGTACGCTGCGTGGTACAGGGCCGTAATAATTCTAGTCAGTTTTTATAATTAATTACAAAGCAAATTTAATTTTTATTTTTTGCAGCTAAACTAAAGCAGATAACAAAAAAATGAAGAGGAACTTTTTTGTGTAGAATTTTTTTCTCTACAACTTTTACTTGAAAGTTTTTTTTTTATTTCCTACCGTTATTAAGTTATTTAAAAAAAAGGCATTTTCAACCCTTTTTTTATTTTTTTCATCCCTTTCCCCTTAATTTTAATCAAAATTTCTTTCATAATATCATTATTTAAGTATTAATGAACACATTTTTACTCATTGCGCCAAAACTGGTCAGATCATGGTTTCATTTAACTTTTTACTGATCTAAGAGTCATTACTATAATTCTTCTTTTTAATAGACACATGCACATGTTTTTAATTTATTTTTTAATTAATGACTAAAAAGATTTTCACGCAATGTTTGTAAACACAAATAGCACTAATTTTAACCTCTATATACAGATAAATAGTTAGTTAATCACCAACTATAAACTTATACACAATTAAATTTTTTTTTATTTTTCACGTTGTAGGGTCTTCTAAAATATTAATTGTTTTTATCTACAATTTACACTTATTTCATTTAATTTGTATAAATCATAACTACTGAGATACTTTTGAAAATAAATAAACATTACTCAACATTACTTGTGTTCCAGAAAAATATCTATTTACCTTGAAATCGATTACTAAGCTTTAAATATTTAAATTTTTCAATCGATTAAAGTAGTCGTTTATAGTAAAAGCGGTAAAATTAATTCTTAAAAAGTGAATGAAATTTCGAAATTACAATTATTGGGAATAAATTACAAATACATTAACTGTTGTGTTTCAAGTTAATTTAAATAAAAGTAATAAATATTAATGGTTTTATATAATATTTTAATTAAAAGTTTTATGTTTTTTAAATAATAAATTATTTGAAAAATAAATATTTTATAAAAAATTATTGTATTATCAAAAATGACTTAGTGGGTATACTTAAGCAGACAATTTGTTCAAAAAATAGTCGATAAATCATATCTGTCACTTAACTAACATTATTTAATTTTTTTTAGTTTTAACAATGAAAAATAATCAAAACCGATACGGTGTTTCACGTTTTTCTGTTTATCGCCGGAGGAAAAAATTGTATGACTTACATTTAAAAACATTTCCAAATGATATTTTTTTTTCTTCCTTACCAGCAGACATTGTAAGTAGTTATTTCAATAATAACATAATTTACTTAGGCTAAAAACACATATTGAATAGTATTTTACATAACTCCAATATATTTTTTATTAGATTGAACCTCCTATCATCTCCAACCCTGAATCACATCTTATTCACAACAATGAAGACATTACCCACTACATTACAACACAGATAAAAAAATCTTATTTTTCCAACACTTACAATGAGTCTATTTTAATGAGCGAACCAGACCAAGTTGATAACTTTAATGTCACCAATGCAATGGACCATGAAGAATCCATCAATGAATGTGTTGATAGTCAACGTATAACTGATGAAGTTTTAACGAATCATTGTGAGACAAATTCTAATAATACTACTTTCATGGATAGTCAATTAAATAGTTTAATGTATCCTGTTATACCAAAGTCAACGATTACTGCTAAAGATCACCTCTTAGCAGTAATGAGTTTAGCTTCAAAATTTAAGTTCACTTATGAAGCAACATTGTCAATTTTACGATGGATTAATTGTGCGAGTGTTGGACAAATACTACCAACAAATAAACCTGCATTAGAAAAAGTGTTACTTCAGGATAACAGTATATTCACCAAACATTTTTATTGTGAAATTTGTAATATTTATTTGGGAAAAGATGAAGTAATTGATGAATGCTATTCAGAATTATGTAAAAAAGAAAAATCAGTGAAGTTTTTTCTCCAGATAAGTTTGAAATCACAAAGTCAACAATTAATGGCACTTCCACAGATCGCATCAAGTTTGAAATACCGATTTTCACGAAGCAAAAAAAATCATGAAAATATTGAAGATATTTATGACAGTCCTAGTTATCTTAAACACTGTGAACCAGGTGGATTTTTATATAATTCTTGGAATTGTACTTTAACATTTAACACTGATGGTGCAAGCTGTTCTAATTCATCTAATACTAGCGTTTATCCAGATTTTTTTACAAATAAACGAACTCCCTCCTCATTTACGGATTAAACATATGCTTTTGAGTACGATTTGGGTTGGAAAAGGTCATCCTGACATGAATCTGCTGTTAGATCCTGTTATCACCGAGTTAAATGAACTGTATGAAACTGGTATTACATGGTCTTCTGATGGAGTAAATTCAAATACTAGTAAATTTGCAGTTTTAATATGTAGCTCAGATTCTGTTGCCTGTCCAATGATTCTCAATATGAAGCAATTCAATGGTGAATATGGTTGCACATTTTGCTATGCTTCTGGGCGTCGGTTAGCTAAGAAAATGGTGTACCCCTTTGAGCGAATTATTGAACACCGTAATAATGATGATCTTATCTCCCAGGGGCTAAGAGCTTTTAAATCTCAAGCGCCTTATTTAGGAGTCAAAGGACCAACAAATTTGACATTATTGCCACTGTTTGACTGCATAGATGGAATGGTTGTTGAACCGTTACTCAATGTTTTTCTGGGCGTAACAAGACAATATGCACTACTGTTATTCGCTGAGGATCCGAAAGCACCATATTACATTGAAAAACCGTGTCATTTACGACGTATCAATCAGCGTCTAATCAGGTTAAAGCCACCGAATCGAATATCTCGAAGACCAAGATCAATATACAGCATAAAACAGTGGAAAGCCTCCGAATGGAGAAATTGGTTGCTGTATTACTGTCTACCATGCTTGGAAAACATCTTAAAACCGAAGTATATGAAGCATTTAGCAAAGTTATGTCAAGCTATATACATATACAATTCAGATTCAATATCCTTTAGTCAGTTACAAGAAGCACAAACTCTCTTGCAAGATTTTGTTTCTGATTTTGAGGTTTTATTTGGCATCGAAAATATGTCGTTTAATGTTCACTTGCTGCATCATATACCTACTACAGTTGAAAATTGGGGGCCATTGTGGTGTTATAATGCATCAGTATTTGAGTCCTGGAATAATAAAATTTTAAGCGAAATAACTAGTCCGAACGGAAGAGAAATTCAAATTGCTTCGCGATTTATGACGAAGAAATATATTGAAAATGTATGCTATGATGATACCGTTAACACTATTACTCAAACATTTGTTAAAAATATTTTTGAACGCAGAAAAGTATTTGATGACACTGATCGTAATCATAATTTTAAAGGTCTTGGCGCGAAAAAAAGAAGAAAAATTAAAAAATGGGAGTACAATGCTTTGAAAAAATTTGGCTATAAAATCAAAATTCTCACGAAATTTAAGAAAGCTTTAATAAATAAAATTGATTTTCGATCAATACAGCAAGTAAAATCTCATAGCCATTCTAAGCTTTCTGTCTTTAGAAAAAAAAATTCAATAATACTGGTGTTTTCAACAAAAATATTGGGTTCGGTGTCATTCGAGGTATTGTTGAATTTGAATATAATGATGAAATCATTCGTGGTATCTTCATTGAAAAACTTAAATGCATTCGAGCAATGTATAACACTAGCTACATTTTCAACGTCAACTTGAGTGAAAAAATAGAATTTGTAAATTGTAATGAATTTTTTTATCCTGTTCTAATATTGACAATTTATGGTCTTCGTGCTACAAAACTATCTAATTGCTGGGAAATTCATTGAACCTATTAATGTTTTGTCTCTTGATGAAACTTTACTGGACTGCACTATGTATTTACACGACTTGTTTGTACTAAGTAATAGACAATGTATTTTATTTTAGTAATTGCTTTACTTGACTGAATATTCTGTAAAATTTTTTATAATAAATTTGTCAAAGTGTTTTATATTTATGCATTATATTTTTCAAAAAGATTTCATGTTAATTATATGTAAAGGAATAATAAAAATGAATAATTGTGTTGTCAATATAAAATTTTTGATTAAAATTAAATGTAGTTAAGATAATTTGGTAGAAAATTCTATTTTACTGATAAATAATCAAAAAATTATTTTTTGATAATCATTAAAAAAAATGATCGAATTTTCGATTTTACTGAGTTCAGGATATTAAATATCAGTTTTTTGGCCATTTTTTTATAGGTTTAACTTAGTTGGTAAGATCAGAACTTGAGTTGTATTCCATAGACATATGATTATTAGGTAGTTATATCACAGTTTATAAATAGTTCACTCAAGAAGTATTTAGTTATAAGTTTTGGTATTTACATATGTCTTTTTACAGTAAAAATTTCAGATAATCACTAAAAAATTCCTGCAAACTAACAGTTTTTAGTGGGTATAAGAAAAGTTTTTTTTGCGCACATTGTAACCATGAAATTGTAATTATTTTACTGTTAAAAAACTGATAATGAACAGTAAAACATTTAAACTAAAAAAAAACCGTTAATAAACAGTATTTTTATTTTGATAGGACGTTAATAAAAGTATAAGATCATAAAACAGTTAAATATTATATTGTTATAAAAAAGTATACTTTATATACTATTAATAAGAATATTAAAATATCAATTCCAATTTCAAACGTAAAATTAAAAAAATACTATATCATTAATGAAAATCATACGAAGTATTTTTAAGTAAAGTATGACATTGACATGTCATCGAGATCAACATTTAATGTGTCATCGACAATAACACTCATATTATTATTATTATTGCTGTTGTCATTATTTCCAGAAGTCGTAAGGGTATATAAAGAAGTCCTCATCTTGCTGTATTCATCTTTAGATGGTTCATAACCGATGCAATTGTGATTTACTCGTTGACTAGATAACAATAACCCGTTGAGGGTATTAGTGACTAATTTCTTGCGCACTTGACATTTGATTAAACCAATTTTGCTAAATATTCTCTCACAATCCGCACTACCATAAGGTAAAGAGATAATGTTTAAGAAAAATTTAGCTAAATTTTTAAAGCTCCAAACTTCTTCTGTATCACCATAAATAAAAATTTTATGCCAAAAAATATCAGCAGGGTCATCAAGCTTGATATCATCTGGTAATTCGAAGTTATGAAATCTTCGCCATTCATTATCGATAATTTGAGGTTCACATGAGTTTAATAATCGAGGTAGTTTATTCATCAACGGTTACAAACTTGGCATAGTCATTACTGTTTTCTTATTCATTGCTTCTCTAGGATTAATTACTGATAAATTTTTTTGTATTAAATCATCAAAGTCAAAACGTTTTTTTATTTCTTCACATCCTCGAATTAAAAATTTTCTACAATTAGTAAGAAAATTTATTTTTTCCTCTAGAAGAGGAGGTTTAGTGGATTCCGGTTTGTTAAAATAATTAAATGCTTCAATGCCTACATAAATATTATGAATGTTCTTAAATTTAGCCTCATTCGATGGATTAATATCTTTTAAAGAAGTCATATTGATATAGTTATATTGATAACTTTTATCATCCATAAAAGTTTTTAAGAGATCTAAGTATGTCAAACTCATTTTTTTATGAACTGCCGTAATTAACGGTTTTTCAGATTGAAATAATTTATTTAAATCGGTAAATTTCGGTAAACTCCACAATAAGAAATGATAGTACAACTTCATGGTTGGATTTTGCAGGCAGCGAAGTATTCTTGCAACATCAGATTTATTTTCTTCAGTTGCTATTTGGTCACTAGCATCTTTCTTCTTTTTATTCATATTTTTACACTCTTCTTCAAAGTACAACTTATTAAAATACAAAAACAACCCATCCCATTGTTCAAGAAGTCGCTCTACCACTGCTCTGATAGACAACCAGCGTGTCTGAGCAGGACGTAAAATTTTATGAGCTTTTAAAGCCAAGATTGATTGAATTTCTTTCTACGCAAATTGTCTTTTTGAACTTGACGAAAAATGATTGTAAACTAGGTGAGGTAATTTTTCACATTCTGCTGGCAATTCAGAGCATGCATTACTTGCGCAGAGATGTAATGAGTGACATAGGCACTTCATAATATATATTCCTGGACAGCTTTGCTCGAAACGTGTCCGTACCGAATTTTTATCACCCATCATAGTACTACATCCATCTGAGCCAAAGCCAATAATATTTGTCAAAGGAATAGAATATTTTTCAAATGATTTTTCGATGCAGTTATAAATGTGTTGTGCCGACGCTTCAGAAGAATTATCTTCTTCATTAAATACTTGATACAATTCCCAAAAGCAACTGGTGACTCTACCTTGCTCCAAATCATAAAATCTTACGACAATGCATAGATTTTTCAGTTGCTCCAATTACGTTCACCACTACAGCAGCCGACTTTGATGATTTTAATCGCATATCTTGAAGAATTTTCGAATCTGGAAAACAATCTTTTAGAAGAGGAGTTAAGTGGTCCATCAACCGAAACGAAAGATTATGCTCAGCTAAAAATCCACAAAGTTTAATTTCTGCCCGTGTAGCATTATAATCAAAGGATGGTTCTGCGTTTTTTTGAGTAAATGTTCGAATCAATTTTTGATTAGAAGCTGAATTCATGGCTGACATATGATGTTTACACTTGCCATGATTTTTAATCACCGTCAACTCTGCAGTAAATGTTACATTACATAGTTTGCATCTAGCTTTATATTTATCAGATAAATCTGGCATTAACCATGTATTAAAATTGGTATTGTTTAACCACTCTTTCAAAAATTTTTGCTTTCTACGTGTATAGAGTTTCAATTTTTTAGCCTGTAGCCTTTTTGGTGGCGTATCTTCGTCAGAACTTATGTCACTCATTATGGACGAATATTTAATGACTTGTAATAATAAAAACAATATTTATTCTTGACGTATATCAATATTTTCTAGACGTTCATCATTCCAATGCACTTCATCATCACTTGATTTTTCTGTAGATAGAGTAGAATTAAAGCTAGAATCTGAATCTTGATCTTCTGACCTCACTTTTTTTTGGAGATACAGGTATAATTATACTACCTAAAAAAAAAAAATAATATCCATTTATAATCTTAATCAGGAACTATTGACTGTATTAATTGAATTGTAAATAATTACCTGGATTAAGCACAAATAAATATTTTCCAACAGAATTTTTTTTCAATTTTCCCAAGCGATCTCTTAATGCAATTAATATTTTTTCTTCAGCAGTATTTTCTTTTTCAATTTTTAAATTTTGTTCTACCATTTTATTTGACTTTTATTTGATAAGAACTCATAGTTATATTATCCCGAGATAGCTTATTTAAATTTACTACAATCAGATTTATTGATGGCTTAACCTTTATTCTACAGAATATAATTATTTGAGTTGTTAATTCATTGACAAACGTGAATTATTGCTATGCACACCAAATATAAATTTTATTGAGTTGTACAATAATACGAGAAAATGGCTATTAATTATAGGCAAACAGAAAATGAGAGCAAGAATGCGAAATACTTAACAACTGATTCAAAAAATGAGTATGTGAATAATAAAGATAAGCGTTACGGATACAGTACAGTTTCCATAACTAATATTCGCTACGGTACTACCAACATTTTCTTGGAATTATCGTGGAATGGTGGCGTATCGTGAGGGGCATATGTTCAATCGTACAACACTCTGAATTATGTGTTTTGTATGATACGTATGTGACGAATGCTAACACTGGAAACAGTGCATCTTTTACCCAGAGTTCCAATGATACAGAATTTCTATTACACAGGCATCCGATAACACATAATATCTTTTACTGAGTAATTCATTTACACAGGTTTCTTTTGCCCAGACTCTTCAATTTGCCGCCAAACCGGTCAAAATCGGTTGATTCGTTCGAGAGATATCGTGAACGAAAGAAAACCAAAAAAGTGTTCTTTCGGAATTACTCCGAAATTCCTAGTTCGATTAATTCTAACTCAAAAATTTTAATGAGGCTGAAAATCTGCGTCGAATGCCGCCAACCACGTGAAAATCGGATGATTCATTCAAAAGTTATTGCGGTTTGAAAATTCAAAAAATAGTGTTCTATGAAACTTCCATCAGACTTTTGAGCTCGAAGAGCTTAAAAGCATAAAAAAAGCTATCTCTTTGAGTTCGGAAAGCTAAAAATAACACATAAATCGTATTGGAAGAACTCAAAAACCTCATAAGTGCAATTTGAAGCGCCGAGGTATGGAGTTAGCGGGAAGTTGTAGGGATGACCTTCAGGGTCAATCGTTTTTAATTTTCTTAGCAAAAAGTTAAAAATTTAATAAGAACATTCTTAGTGAGAAATTAAGATTTATTTGTATGACGAAAGACTTTATATAAAGTGGTGGTACGGGAAAAAGCGTAGAAGAAAGATTTAATGGCACTGTCCTGTGTAATGTAGCATTTTGTGTAAGAATGTGAAAGATGTATAAAATAAACGATAAAGAGAAAATAAAAAAGAAGAAAGATAAAAGTTGTACAAGCATAAGGGGAGAAAGCGAGAAACAAAGAAATAAAGATAGTAAGGAACGGAAAGAAGCTTGTAGAGAGGAAAAGGAGAGAGAGAACGTCTGGACGTTCGTTAGTGTAACAATCCTATCTCATCGTGTACATCTCGAGCTCGTAACGAAGCGGCAAATCGAAACTAAACGGAGCGGCCCCGTGAATGGGAGATCGAAATATAACGTTACGCCGATGCCTCGGTGCGGCTTCCGGCACAACATTTTAAAAATTTTTTTCACCTCTGGAAACTCCTTTAATGTATGCTATACTATTGATGTTTCTTCCTTCAATTAAGCACGAAACATCGATACACGTCATTAAATTTCATTTTTTTTTCAATTTATCTCCTTTTATTAATTCGCTCCGATGTCAAATCAATGTATTTTATCAAGTTCGAATTACATTGTCTCCTAACAATGGCATCTCGATTTTATCAAAACTCCAATACAAAAATTTGTTTAAATAAAATTCTAAAGCACGAAAAAAACCTCATTAAATCAAAATTTGCATTTTTCAAACTTTCCTAACTTCAACTCTCGGTAAATGAAAAACCTGATGATTCGAATCGAGTGTCTTCTTTTGTAACCACGTATTTCAATTATCAAAATTTGCGGGTTTTCAATTTGAAAATAAATGATTTAATATTAATGCGTAACTTAAAAAAAATAAAAGAAAATCACAATGAGTACAATATGTGTTTAAGAATTTACAATTGATGAGTAATATTTTGAGGAAATCATTAATTTTTAGCGAACCACTTTTTACATTGTTTCAAAAGTTATCATTTATGAGTTTCGTAATTCCGTCAAAAACTGTTCAAAATTTTTTACATTCATCTGGAATTTTAGCACATGAAAATTCTTCTGTGAATAAAATTTTTCATTGAAAATCGTTTAGATCTAATTTTCGAACCCTTCTTAGCGAATATATATGAGACATGAACATCATTCTTACTAAATTTAAAATCTATGGGATTTAACACCGTAGAACAGTTAGAGTATTTTGTACACCCTTGCAGTATGATTTTATGTCTCCTCAATATTTCTGAAATATTTAAGTTATGTGACTAAGGCAAACAACATGATTAATGGAAGAATAGAGATTATCGAATTGTTAATAAATCACTTAGCACTAATTGATTTCGAGGTGCAATTCTCAAACATTAATAACACTCAGTAGAAGATCTCAAAATTTAATGTCTACAGAGATGTTTTATTTCGCTGAATTATAGTAAATAGTAATTCTTCCGATGTCTTGATGTATTGTTTATTCACAATTTTCCGTACAAAACAAGCTTATTAGAAACTTTCAAGTCACTTGGGTACAATAATAACAGAATTGATATACGACGTATAAATTTCAAAGCAAAAAAATTAATGCTAATATGATGCTATTCAACGTAGTACTGATTTTTGAAAATTAGGATGAGGGGTTCCTACACTAACGATTCATATCAAAAAGAAAATTTTTTTTTCAACTAGGCTTATTGCATAAAACAACACACTGAAAAATTTCCAGGTGTAAAAACCATTCTCAAGATGCATTTTAAGTATCACTTATAAGTATCACATATATGGTGTAATTTTTGAACCAACATTTTTTTCCGTGTAAAGTAGGGGAGGGTGGGGCACAACAGCTGGTTATTTCTTTTTGTGGTTTTTTACTATGTAATTCGTTTATTTTCCGTCTATTTCAAATAAATCAGTCGAAATTTTGCAGAAAAAAAAAGTTTTTTTTTTCTGGGGCGCGACGGCTCCCCACAAAAAGCACATAAAAAAAATTTCTCTTTACTGAAGCTATTACCATCAAAATCTAGAGATTCTCCGCCCAGAAAATATCGTCGAGAGAAAACCAAGATTCTTACGAGTCTTGAGTATTGTTAAGAACTAAAAAAAAACAATTAGAAAAACGGTTCACACACACACACACACACACATACAGACATAGTGACACCCTCGCGGGAATAGTCAGGGAAGCTTCCTAGGACCTCAAAACGTCGAGATCTGATGAAAACTCGATTTTCGAAAAACGGGGTAAAACCAATAACTTCCCGATTTTTGAAAATTTTCAATTTTCAATAACAAACGGGAAGTTAAAAATCAAAATAAAACAAAAAAGAAAAGGACATCAAAAATATAAAATTTTATAAAAAAAAAAAAATAATTAAATCACAACCAAACAATTTGAAAAAAAATGTTTAAAATGTAAAAATGATGATTGCCAATCTTGACAAGCTTTTTATTTAGTGCGTAAGGAATACAAAATATTTTTTTCTGTTTAGATCGAAAATGAATATCAGGTTCTCAAATTTATAAAAAAAATTTAACTACTCGCTTAAGAAATTCAGCCATCATACGGACGTCTCTTATGATAATAACCCAGCAAAAATTAACATTGCTATTCATTACCTCAGAAAAATATGTATGAATTATGTCAACATTCGACCGAATGAAAAAATTAGTGACTCATTATAACATTGTTTTATACACGAGAAAAATAATTCTAATGTGAATATTCTGGCTGAAACTAAATAGTTATGTAGCAGGAAACGAGAATGAGATACTAATCTATTCTTTACACACTGTTTCTTAGGTTAATTTTTTATCTCTATCTGTCATGTTGATTTAAATATAAGTCATTATTCAATTAAATATAGGTATGTACAATATATTAGATTCACGTTTCGTTATCTAAAAAGTGTTATTTAAAAATATTGCGCAAGTAACATTAAGCTCTCGTCACGTAATAGATTCAAATGTATATTATTCATGTCCGTTTTTTTTCTTACTTAACTAAAACCATCCTATTGTTTTCTATAATTTAAATTACATATCGACTGCGAATTAATATTAAGAACAGTTACGTATTCTTTGAAATACCGAGGATGCTTTTAATATTTTAATTTTGTGGAATAACCCGAATAAATCTCATAAGATATAATACCGTGGCAAAAGTCCACAACCTTATTTTCATAAATTTAAAATATAAATACAATATAAACTAGATTGCAACTATGACAAAAAAAAAGGTTTATGTATTGTATATTTATGTATTCAAATGTTATGAAAAACAACAACAACAATAATAATAATATAAGATTCATTATTGTAATTATGTTGTGTGTGAATGTATGATTTATATATTATATATTTATGTGCCTATATATTGCGTACCAGTATTAAAGTCCATAGTAAAGATCCCTGGACATTTGCTTCCCTAAGCTACGACGGGCGACTTGTAATTAACAAAGTCCCAAGAAAATATAAATATAAAATATTGTTATAGGTATTGATCAAAATAAATTTTCTATCTTCTATAAATTACTCTAGAAAACAAAAAAACAATATTAAATATAATAAATATTTATTAAATCAAAAACGTTCAGAAATTCTGGAGGAAACATTTCTCAACTGCCCGTAGACTTTAGAAGGCGGCGAGCCAAGGATCAAATTACAGATCGCGCGTCGCGCGATCTGAATATTTTGGAAAGATCCTAAAATGTGAACTTTGCAGTCCGCGAGGACAATTCGCGTGCGAGTGACGTTTTCGATAGTGAACTTGGTACGGCCACCCTTGCCAGCCAAGCGTCCAATCGCTCGAGACAGATGGTCGCCTTTCAGAGGCTTCACGTCCTGGACCTCAAAGGTCTCGACAAAGAGATCGTCCAGCCTCAGCAGCGCTAGTGCGTCCTCGACTTCGAATCCCAAGACGAAGGCTTTGACAAAATCTGCTCCTTTTTGCAGATTCGATATGTCTGGAGTCTCGGGGCTTGTTCTAAGCTCGACGTTTCGCGATTTTAAATTAAATCGGATTTGTAATTGCAGGTGCTCTACTACTGGGGTGAAGATCTTTTCCCAGCTTTCTTTTAATGGAGTGTAACGGTGGGCTGGTACCGGAACCTGTAAGTTTTTTATTATTAATAATTTATTATAAGTATTTAGACTGCCTTAAAAAATATCTCTAGATACATAAATAAGAAATGACCTTGTATCTTGTGAAATATTGACATTTTTAAAGATATAAGCTCATCCTGATGTCATACTCATGGAGACCTTTCATTTGAGTATCCACATCAATTTTTCATATATTTTATATATTTATATATATTATATATATGTATATATGAAAAATATATCAAAAATGCATGTGGGTACTCAAATAGAAGCTCTTGATGAGTACGACATCGGGATGAGCTTATATCTTAAAAATATGTTTATAAAATATATGAACTATTGATATATATGTTATATATATATGAACTATTGACATTTTTAAAGATATAAGCTCATCCTGATGTTACACTCATCGAGACCTTTCATTTGAGTACCCACATCAATTTTTCATATATTTATATATATGTATATATGAAAAATATATCAAAAATGCATGTGGGTACTCAAATGAAAGCTCTTGATGTGTGTCACATCGGGATGAGCTTATATCTTTAAAAATGTCAATATTCAAGAAAGTACAGTGCAATTTAACAAAAGGCATTATTCAATAATGCAAAATTTTATTTATTTATAGTTCACCTCACGGCAGTCACATAGTGACTGCAAGTTTGTATTGCTAGTTATTTCAATTTTGAGACTTGAATTCAAAATTTTATCTTTTTAATTTAAAAAGTAAAAAAATTTAATTTAATAGAACAATTATTTTCAAAAAATTTTTTAAATATTGATGAAAAAAAAGATACATACCTTACGTTGTTCATTTCCAGCAACATTTTTAGTACGTTTTGTTGAGCTTTTATTTTTAGCTTTGCCTTCAATACCATTGACAGTCTCAACCTAATTACAAATTAAAAATAATAAATGAATAAATATAATTATTCACATAAATAAAATATAAAAATAATAATGTTAACCTTACCTCCATTACACTTTCACTATCATGTCGACGTTTTGATGATTTAGAATCAGTGTTTTTACTTCCTGAAGCTTTATCCATTTTTTATTAATTATTATTTAATTATTGTTATGGATATAAACACTTTTTATCTATTTATTTTAATGACAAATAACTAAACACGTGCTGGAGGTATATAACTGTGACTACTCCAATTGATACTAACCTCTATTTTTATTTTTTTTTTTATTTTCAAGTTAGTTCTTAAATTTGCCGCCAGAGTTTTTTGGCGCGAAAATTTTAAATTTAAGTTTTTTAAAAATTAAATTGTTAATTATTTAATTTATTTTTTATCTACTTGATATTTAATTATTTAGTTAAATCAATTATTTATTTATTTAATTTTAAATGATTAAATTTAATAAAAAAATCATTTTTTATTTTTAATTTAGTTTTTAAACTTGCTGCCTGAGTTTTTGGCGCAAAAATTAAAAATTCAAATTTTAAACAATAAAAATAATTCATTTTTAATAAAAAATCATTTATTGACAGTCCAAATAATTACATAAAAAAATCCCATTAAATTTTCCATGATTGCTTACAAATAATACATTTAAATATTAATTATTGCATTAGTGTAAAAGCATTAACTATTTGTAAAAAAAAATTAATATTTTATTTACAATTTTAGTCTTCAGCTGTCGGAATAATCATTGAGGCTGATATTAAGATTAAGTAATTAAATTGTCTTCGCTGACTAGAATTGTCGATAAAAAAATTTTTTTTTTTTTAATCGAACAATCGGAAGACAATGAAACAATCCGTGAGCTATTGTATTTACATTGGTTAATTTATTTAATTATTTATTTACTGATTTATGAGTAAACGTCATCGGCGGTTCGCGGGTCCGATGGTTTTGTTGAATAGTGTGTTGGCTATTGCAATTACTGGTGAAAATAATTTTAATGGACAGTCACTGCAATTAAAAAAAAATTATATAATTACATTCAAAAAATAAAATTAATTAAAACTTACCAAACACCAGTGACAGGTTGAGCTTCATTACCGCTTACAATAAATAATGGGAATAAAATAGAAAATACACAACCACTGAAATAAATTTTGTTATTAATAATAGTTAGAAAAAAAATTTATAATTATTGCAAATAATATCAATATTAATTATATTCATTAAATATTAATGAGTAAAATTTTAAAAAATATTGATTAATTAAATTGTCGATAATAAATATGTTGATAAAAGCGCACAAAGCACAAAAAAATTTACCTTATAACATAAGAATTAGGTAACTGAGTTAAAACAGCCAATGGAAATCCAAACCCGACAAAATACGGCCAGTTGGCTTCAATAAACGTCAGCCTTCGGTGCAATTCCCATCCCATATTAAACCACTTGTATTCAAAGGCATAAAGAGCATACAGAAGGCACATGTGTATCAGCTCTAGCAACTCTCCAATCGCTGGTAGAGGTACCTGGGACACTAACATACCTTGTCCCAAAAACAGCGCCTGTACCAGGATGCTGAATAATGTATCAGCTACCAATTTACTTACGCTTGATAATAATAATGGTCTACCTTGTCTGTGTCTGTATGCACTGTCAGCAATGTCCTTTTAATTTTATAAAATTATTATTAATAAATTTTTTAATAAATAAATTTATTAATAAATTTTTTAACAAATAAATTTATTAATTTTATAAAAAATAAATTTTTATTAATAAAATTAAATAAATTACCTGAAACCAAAGACTGTTGACAATCCTACTTAATAAAAATAATGGTAGCACCCAAACAGTGCCAAAAGTTAATGATAAAAATGGTTTCATCCACGACCAGACAAACATTCCCATCCCCGGAGAGTGTCCGAATATTATCGTCAGTAAATATTTTAAAAATGGCAACAGTCCACATTCAAATATAAATATACTCGCCCAAAATACACCTCCATTTAACATACAGCATTGAATTGTCCTCTTAAGAATTTTCGATTCTCTGGAAAAAATAATAATAATTTATTACCAGAAAATACAGATATTTGAAAAATACATATTAAATACAGTGTATATGAATTTTATGACAAAAAATTTTAGAAAAAAAAAAAGTTTAATTTAGACTATATTTTTATTTTAGTTATGTGCATAAAAAGCAATTTTATTTATTTATTTATTTATTTATTAATAACCCTATAGTCTGTTATTTTTGTCTGACATCTTTTGCTGCATCAATAATTTTGTTGTATTTTTTTACATATTTTATTCATATCTTGCGATATTGAAAGATCTTGGTCATAAAGGAAATATTTTTCTAATAATTTAGCTGCTTCCAGAGCTTCTTTAATGCTCAAGCTCATCTGTATCGTCTTCTATGAATCCAATTTGTAAACAAAAGAAAGAATTTCTTAGAAAATTCGGTATGCATGATGCCACTTAATTGTTGTCGTTTTTGAGAGTGAGTGTAATGCTATATAGAGTGTATCATTGTATGAAAGACAAGCTAAACCAACCAAAGACAAGTGATTTCGACGGTTTAAGGAGTTTGTCGTTGTATAGAGTTTATACTGTATTGTACAATACAAAATATCTGTCCTATAGAGATGATTTTTATCTGTACATAGGACTGGCATAGTAATTTTCATCCATGATGTCAAAATTAATAGTATAACAATTTGAACAATTAAAATTTAAGAACCAATTAACTCAATTTATTCTGTAGTTTGTTTTAACCATTTAGTTATTTTCAACTTAATAGATTTTTTAGAGCCGTAAAAAAATTATTGCAAAAAAAATTCATTTAAAAAAAAAACTTTAAGTGCAATTTTTAAAAAATACTTTTTAGTTATAATTTAATAATTAAAAACGTCAGCAAATTTTAGTAATATAAATTTGTAATTAAAAAAAATTACTTTTGCTCTTTTAATTTAGCAGGAGAATTATTTAACCCGCTATCTTTTTTCAATGGAACTTTAGCAGGAGAATTTTTAAGTATTCTCTCATTGATCTGTTTGTCCATATAAAAAAGTACAGTCGCTCCCTTTAAACTGTCTATGAACCCACAGTACATAGCTCGTAAAATTCCCTGTAATTAAAAAAAAAATTTTATTAGAAATTTTTTAAATAACCTTGATTGTAAAAAAAAAAAAAAAAAAAAAAAAAAAAAAAAAAAGACAGTTTTTTTAATAAAAATAAAAAAACCTGGCAAATTTTCAGAAATTTTTTCTGGCATTGGAATAAAATTTTAGGTTATTATTTATAAAAAAATAAATTAAAATAAAAAAACTCACTGCGATATTATCCATTGTTAGGTTAGTAGCCCACTAATATTAATTTATTTATAATTATTTGTCATATCAAACACAATGATTATTGTGTGGATATTTTTTTATGTATATTTATGTACAGACAGTGGCTGAATTGTTTTGAATCAAAATGAAAGTATTTTTGTTCCCAGCAGCAAGTGAATTTATTGTATTTATTGTTGTGCAATCAGTATTGATTAGTAATTTATTCACTGAATTTTTATTTTAATTTTACATTATGAAAGTCAAATATTTAGATAATAAATACATTATCGAAACACACTTGACTTTTTTTTTTTCTTTAACAAAGATGACAGACATGACAGTAATGTGCGCGCGCAATTTTAGTTTGGTCGCCATTTTTTTAATGGCGGGAAAATTTTAAATTTAAAAATAATATCATTAATAATAACAATAAGAAGAAAATAATAATAATATTAATAAATTTTTATTGTATATCCAAATTAAAAATTTTGAATAATAAGAAGAAAAATTAAAAATTGTTATTGATTCTTTTTGAAATAATTGAAAATTAAAATTTATTTATCACTTATCAACCCTTCCATGGTAATTGTTAAAATCGGCTCGCCATCTGGCTCGAAATAAAAAAGCTTGACAAACAATTCTCCAGCTTCTAATTGAAATGGTGAGTTGTCAGCCGAAAATGAATAATCTCTCAATTCGTAATCAGCCTGAAGAAATATAAATAAATTTAACAGAGAAGCAAATAAAAAATAATGCACCAGAAGTACTTACCGCTTTTACTGGACAGCTAAGCTGAACCGTGTCTGGAGGGTATACATGGTCCAGCATACGTTGATTGGCTAAGCCAGCTTCCAAACCGTCACATACCGACATTTCCATGGAAAGAACTTGACGGCCATTCAATTCAGCAGCAAGTCCAAACTATTTATCATAAAATTAATTATAATTGACTTCTATAAGTATTCTGATGAAATAACTTAACATTACCATCATATTCTCGGGATAATCTTGTTTAATTGGAAATAATAATGAAAATCTATCACCAGATTCGCTTATTTCAAATGACCAATTCCCAAAGTACGGATTATCAGGCGTGTTGTTGATTGTTAAAGTATTAATTTTCAAATCTGGAGTTTTCTGTAATTGTTCAAGAGTTTTAATGAGACAAAATTTAATCAAGTTATTAAAAATTCAAATCTCAAACAATACTTACGTCTGCGAATGTCAGAGTCGCCAAAATGGCGGCTAGGAAGCTCCATAATTCAGCAGAAATCTTCATAGTAATTCCTTGGATGAATTACAGGTGAAAATTAAATTCTTCCAGCTGTATTTATTGAGCTGGATTTAATTTATCTGGTAATTAATCACAAGTTACACTTATTGTGACACATTGTTGCTTTGTCTGAATCTTGTATGATTTGTAACCTTCAATTAATCCCTAATCAATCATAACAGGAAGTCTATTTCTTACAAAAAATTCAATAGATTTCTATATAATTAGTTTTGTAACTTCTTAGAAGCTACCATCATCCCCCAAAACATATTAAAAATTCAAATCAATCGGCTCACGGGTTTCTGAGAAAATCATTTTTTTCTGAATTTCAGCTTTTTTCGATTTTCTCGAAAACAGTATTAGATGAAGAGCTGAAACTTGCAGTATCGAAGTATCTTATAAGTACCAACATACCCTGAAATTATAAGCCAGATATCTTTCTAGGGCCGATTCACTATACTTATCGGCCTATGGCCTTTGTTTGTTAAAAAAAATTAAAAAATTCTCGAGTGACTGCTAACTTTAATGTCATTATTTATTTTAGTACCATTCGTAGCAGATATCAGAAATTTTTTTTGTATTTTTGTAATTGTATTTTAGTTCATTTGTATTTTCATTACTACCGAAATAATAATATAAAAAATGTGCTTGGCAAATTGTTTGGATTTTTTTTGTGCAATTAACAAAAAATTTCTTTTTCTTTTAATTGTTTTCAAATATTCGTAAAACTTTTTTTAAATAATAAATATCTGCATATTACTCACTTATAAATAAACACCTTATTAAAAGAACTTTTAATTTTATAATAATTACCAATTGCTCGTCATCAGTTTTCGAAAAATTAAATTTTACAATTGATAGTATTTGAGGTACTACTGTGATTTACTGTGTGATAAATTTTTTTTTATGGCAAAACTAAAACACTTACACTAGCGAAAGTTAGCAAGAAAGAGTTATAACATATTCACTACTACGACACTACGGTAGCCTATCACACAGATAAACCCAAGCTTCGAGTTTACTCGAAAAAATTGAAGATCGCTTGACGGTTACGCCAAGTACCTTCAATCCTTGCAATTTATTACGCATTCGATAGCGCTTGGTTAAATTAGTAACAGCAATTCATTTCGTGTCATCCATTACTGATTCGATATTGCGAATTTTTTTATAAAATATTAATTTATAATCGAAATTTATTTTTAAATAAAAATTGAGTTGTAAAGTTTTTATAAAATATAAAAAATGCCTGGTGAAACGATCCAGCAAGACGGGTACTTCTATATTGTTGAAAAAACATGGGGTAGAAAAAAAGTAAGTAATTATGTCATTTTTATGGATTAAATATTTAATTAAAATCTCATTTTTTTTAAAATTTTCATTTTCGTTGAAATAGTTCATCCGTCACATGTCTGTTAATTTTCAGATCATACATTTTATCAAAATGAACTAAGCAAATATTTGATAATTTTTAAAATTAAAAAAAAAAATAAATTATGAAAAAAATGAAAAAAAAAAAAAAAAATTGACTTCTAGAAATTTTGAAAAAAAAATGTAATTTAAAAAAAAAAATTTTCGGAAAAAATTTGTTTGTTAAATAAAATTTAAAAATTGTCAAGTGTTTGTAAATTTTGATATCATTACATTTTCATATCATTACATTCCTTCATATCTGTTTTTCATTCTTATCTGTTTTTAGGTACGTGTATTGCGAGAAGAAAAATTCCAAAGGTTGTCCAGTTCGTGGTGTTAAAATTTTAAACAACCCGATCGAATTTTCTCCTTCACTGCGGCATACTCATGCGTACGATTTACTTACCATTGATGTTAAGAGTTTTAAGAACGCATTAATCGCAGCTTCTAAGAAACATTTCTATTCTATTGATGACATTTATTTTAATGTTTCAAAATCGTAAGTACCAAATAAATCATATATTCGAACACTAGTTGAAAAAGAAACTTAATTGAAGAGAAACAAATTTTAAAGCCACAACGTAATTTAAAAATAACTAGATCTTATGGAATCAAAAACATTTTTTAGTTCAACAACTGTTCTGTATGTTTCATGATAATAAAAATGTTTTCAACACTTTTCTTAGTTCAAAAATTTTTTCTCTTCAATTAAGTCAATGTTTGTATCAATAAATGCCTGATAAAATAATATTTATTCATGTTTTTTATTTTTATAAATTTTTCAATAATTGTTTCAGTCACGTTGATGAAATTAAAACAAGATTACCATTAAAAATGGTTAAACCAGGAATGCGTAATCATCAAAAGAAGATGGCTGCCAGCTTGCCGATGTTAAATACTTATGGTGAAGTCGTAGATTTTCTTACAGAGCATATAAGTTTGACAAAATATTCTGCAGATAAACTTATCACATTGCGTAATGTGGGAGACGATGCTCTACTACTTGGGGACCCTGGATTCGCGGCATCATGTCAGTTTGATACATTACACATGAGTTCTACCATCAATGTTCTTCCTGCTTTTGGAAATACTCGTATCCTTACTTTTGTCTTAGGACAATACGAACATTATGTAAGTAATTAGAAACTTATTGAGCCTTTTCATAGTTTTTGATAATTAAATTATTAAGTACAAAAGTAATTAGATTAATTGAATTTCTTCATTAATTAGGCATTTCTTATTGGGATTGTACTGTGGGCTAGACAAACCGCAGAAATTTGCACGGAAATACTTCGTCAGATTAAATTCTTCTTGCTCCCTAATATCAACTTATCAAAAATCTACGTGGACTTTGATTTACAAATTTTTGTGAAAGTTTTTCCGGAAAGTAATATTCATGGCACCTACAACAATTACTGCCGCGTAAGTTACGTTTTCTATAAAAAAATAAAAGTATCTATTTCAAAGAGATTATAAAAAAAAATATGCTTTAATGACGATGTTATTTTTCTTCGTAGATATTATACCATGAGTCTTATGAGAAGAATGTGAGAATCGTTAATCCTTCTCATGAAGAATTTTTAAAAAGCTGTTTTTCTCTTATTCTTCTACCCCATGAGAAAATAGAGGAAGGTTTTAACGAGTTGGTGAACAATCTGACACACGATGCAAATGTTCAGCTTACAAATTTCATTGGGTACTTCAGGACGACGTGGATACAAGGGGTAGGTCCGATAAATATGTCTCTTTTTGAGGAAACGGACAGTTTAAATACTGTACCAGTCTTATTTTGGACATCTCTTCACAATGACATGGGCGAAAAACCTTCACTATGGAAATTTTTTGGTAAGAATTTGATTTAGTAATTTAAAAAATTTTTCTTCAGATAATAAGATTAATATTTAGATGCATAAGAAATAATTTTTCAGACTATTAATTTACTTGATCATTTCTGGAAGTGAATAATATTTTTTTTTTCATTTTCATATATTTAGATAATTATTATTTATTATTTATTAATTCCGGGTTACTGTTTAACATTATCTACTTTCTTACATATTTTCTTAACTTATATTCTACATTTTTATAGATGATGTAATATACATTATATGCCTTATATATTTTTAATATTTTATATTTGTAAGTCTATCATCACAGCTTATTCGTATCACCCTTGTGACATTTATTTTATTCACTCTCTTTACCTTTATATTGCACCACACATGTATTTAATTATACCTTTTGTATTTAATTATACCTTTTGTCTCGTTCCAATTTCTGAGAATAGAATACAGATGTTTTTAACTTAAATCTTGTCCTTATTTACAGAAAAATTGATAGTTACCATCAGCAAATTTAATAAAGAACTTGAACGCATAAAGAACAAAAAAAATGCATACATCTCTACTGCCATATCTGTTCGCTTATGCTGCAATAAAAACTTAATGATCGACCTGTGGAAGACTTTGAAGAAGTCGAAAATAACACTATTACAATTTTTGAAGACTGCAGCTTCTTACCAGGTTGATCATTATCATGATATACTTCATCATGCAGAAGCCATGGAAGATGAACAGTTGGATATTTACCCCCAATTACCGGAAGAAGGTATATATTAAAATCACTTTGAGCTTTTTCAACACTGATAGAAGGATTTATTAACTATTAATAATTTAATTTATTTGGAGACAATTATTTAATTTATTTAATTTTAATAAATATTTTTTAACATTCAATAAATATTTCTTTGGGAGGAAAGTGAATTAATAAATAGTTAATAAGTATTTATTAATAGTTAACAAATATTCGTTAACCATTAATAAATATTTATTAACAGTTAATAAATTATACTTAATAAATTACATATTAACTGTTAATAAATATTTGTTAACTGTTAGCAAATATTCATTAACATTTAATAAATAATTTATTTACTGTTAATAAATATTTATTAAATTCTATTATGTTAAAAAATCATTCTAAATTATATTCGACTTTTTTTGTTTGATTTTCTATTAAAGCTTAATTCTTAAGCTGTTATTTATATTGAACGTCATTTATTTTTCAGTTGAAGCAGAAGTTCATGACAATGATGATCAACAAGGGATCGAGAATGTTGAGTTTGCTGATTATGATATAGAAAGTAAGATAAAAAATATATTTTAGTAAAAATTTAATAATTTTTTTGATGTAAGGGACTCCACTGTTTTTTAAGCCAAAAAAATGAATAATAAGCCATCGAAAACTTTTTTTTTTCTTAATCCGTTCTTCACAGCGAATTTACAAATCATTTATAAAAAAATTATTAAATTTCATATATCCATGGTTATTTTTGCAATTGAATAATTTAAAAAATTCCTACTCATTTTGTTTTCCATCAAAATTTTCAAGGGATTCATTTGTAGAGTACCATATTATTTATTACAAGACAAATAGGTATTTTTTCAATTTTATAATTAAAAAATTTTAGCGAAAGCAAATGTTTTTAAAATATTTTGACTGCAGATTCATAAATCTGCCGCGAAGACAAATAAAATGAAAGACAAGCGTCAGATAACTTGTCTTTTCGGTTTCTATGGCTAAAAGAAATTGGAGCCCCACATTTAAACAATTACTCAATTTTTTCTAATTAATTTTGGACATGTATTACTTAAATTAAAATTTTTTATAAACTATTAAACTTTTAGATGAAGTTGTTGAAAATGAAGATGAAGATATGGAGGAGTCAGGAGATGATGAAATCCCTCAGGACAGGTGTCAAATATGCATCAAGGGACCGCGGGAAATTATTGTCCACCCTTGCTGCCACTATCGTATGTGCCAAGTCTGTTCAAAAAAAGTGCAGAAGACAGCTCAAGAGAAACGTCTCCCGTTAAAATGTCCATTTTGTAATGAGCTGGCGCAAATGTTTTGTCGTGTTTTCTAAAATTTAACTACTTCTTAAATCATTTGATTTTTTAAAACCATTTTAATTTTTTTAACCATACTTTATTAATTACTTACTTACTTTTTTAACCATACTAAAATTTGATACACATCCTATTTGAATAACTGAATAAAGAGACAGCTTAACTTCATTAATATTTATTTTCATTTAGTCATAATATTTTTGTGAGCACTAATTTACCTATAAACAATAACATTAATTAAGTCGTAGAAGTATATATACAGTACACTATTACATAACATTATTTAATAATGAAGTTATAATCGTAGATAATTATGCCATTAAAATAATGAAAATCAGTTAATTGAAGTAATTGAAGATTTATTGTTTTAATAACCATAGAAAATTAAATTTATTTTTACTCAACTAATTCATTATATATTAAAAACTTTCTTTTTTGAATAGAAAAGAACTTCCTACAATTAACTTTATTTTATTAATTAGAAATATTAATTATAAGTCCATTGGACATTTCTCATGTTTTTCTCAAGTTTTTTTCATGTTTAAGGAAATAACTGGCTTCATTACAATATGATTGATTAATCTATAATATTATTATTTCATGTAATAAATGTCACTAAATAAATACACATGATTTATTTTCCATAAGACATTCTCATTGGATCATTTTTATTTTAAGTTAAAAAGTCAAATTACTTTCGCTCAAATTTATCAGTGAATTACAATATAATTACTACTTTAGTAATAAACTAATAAAGAACTTTAATTAACTTTATTTTATTAATTAAAAATATTAATTATAAGTCCATTGGACATTTCTATTTAAGTGGTAGGATTCGGTTTTTAAAATAGATGCGGTATTTTTTCTCTTTTCTCGACGAAGTACGTGTAGCCGTTGGTAATAAAGGAAGATTGATTCTCTATCGACAAAGTATTTCATTTCGGGAGAATCTTGTTTCTGATAGTTATTACATTTTTTGTTTTCTCATTCGAGTATTTTTCAGCTCGGTTATTTGTTCATTCCATTTCATTAGCTAATCGAAAAGAATAACTACTTATTATTTACTTTCGAAACATAAATTTTTCTCTCCTAAACCATATTCAAGTATCGTTGATTTCGAACACATTCATTAGTCGTGACTTAGTTCAGAGTCAAACTTTTCTGGCACCCACGTTTACAAATTATTTTAGCTGTTTTCTCAAAATAAATTTAAATTTACGTTCTCAAATTAATTTCTACTGTAATATGAAAAATTACTTTAAATTTTTCAATGACAAATTTGTAAAAATCATTCTGAGTTTTAAGCTGCCATAGCAGCTGGAGCAAGTACCCTTTTGGACAGTCCTTTCAATTTTACCGTCGGTTTCCTTGATCTCGATCTAGCTCCTAGTTCGTGGATTTTTAAATCGAAATTATTCGTGTTCGTCTTTTTTGTCCAGTACACTTGTCTTGTGTCTGTGAATCTACTGTTAAGTCAAGTGTCGCTTAACTTCTGTATTCGTAAGCCTTCGTCGTCAGGCTGTCTATTACTGTTAAAAACCTGAACTGTATTGTCGTCTATACACTGTAATAGATCTTTAATCGAGCCATCTGACTCGCTGGAGGTATCTTCTCCAATTGCGGAGTCAAGTTCCGAATTTGTATCGGGGTCCAATAAAGGGGTCACCTCGTGTGGGCTGAGCCTCCTTTCTTTGAATTTCACCCGATGCCTACGTGGTCTACCCCTCCTTGTTTTAGGGGCATCCACAGCATCCTGTATAGAAGTGTTCCGGACTTCTATTACAGGTTCCTTTTCCTGCAGAGAAGTATTCTGAGTTTCTGCTGCAGGTTCTGTGAAACGATCTATTACCTGTTCTTTCTGTATTTCTAAATTGTCTACCGATTTTCCTGACTCACTGGTGGACGTCTCGTAGCCAGTTTCGGAGTCAAATTCTCGAATTTTATCTGATAAGGGTGTTACCTTTCCAGAATTGACTATTTCGCGATGAATATCCGATTGAATGATTTGTGGGCATTCTTTCGCGGTATGCCCTATATTATCACAAATCTGACAGGCTTCGGTAGTATTTGTAAAATTTTCAAAATTCTCTATCGTTCTACTTTTAACTTTCGATGTCTTTGTTCTGTTTCCAATTTCTCGACGTATTTTTAATTTTCTTTCTATTCTAATCGCGTTGGTTAAAGCTTCTTCGATATTAGTACAAATCGGCATTCGCTCGTCAATTTCATTATTTAAATTTTGTGTAAAAACTTCTAAAATTGCAGTATCTACCGTTGTTCTAAAATTCAAAATTGCTTCCGCGCTCAAATTCGAATAATTGCCTGAATGACATTCTATTATTTCTCTACTTTTTCTTCTTATTCGATTTAAGAAATCTATAACCGGTTCGTCTGTTTGTTGATACGTACAACCTAACTCGCCTTGTAGCTGATAAATTGACTTTGACGAAACGTAAATTCTTTTCAAAGCTTTAACTAGACCTTCAATCGTAATAGGTATGACGTGATTTAGCGATAGTTTAACGTTGCTACTTAATTTCGCGAGGTAAATTAATTTTGCGAGATTCGCTTCTGCAGCCTCTGGCATAATTTGTTTCGCATCTTGACAACAACTAATAAAATCTATCAATTCATCCGAGTCTCCCTCAAAACGAAGTACGAAGGTAAGTGCGTCATGTAACGATATGTTTTGACTGTCTGTTAGTTCCATATCGTTAACGTGTTAAATGTCTGAATTTGTCCCTAGTGTTTGATGGTAAACCCTCGACAAGGGTGCTTGCTCGTGTCCTCTCAGAAAAATTTTAACAAATATTCATTCTACTCTTTTTTAAACTTACTGAAATTATCGCGGGTAATTTCAGAAAAATTTCGAATCACAAAATTTTAGATGTAAATAAAATTTACGTATACATTCACAAATTTTAAAATGTAAATAATATTCACATGTACTTTCATGAATTATGAAAGAAAATTATTAATCTCACTGGTATTCGTCAAATAAAAAGAACACGTGCTTTTTATTTCTATTAAAACAATTCTTCAAATTCTCAATTAATTTCCCTTTAAAATTTCTCGTATGATTCTACTTTTTCAACAATACAAAATCTCGGTTTCTTCTTCAAAAATAAAAACTAAATTCTCAATTAATTTTTCTTTAAAAATTTCCCTGATAACTCTACCTTCTCAACAAACAACTTCGGTGTCCCTGTTCGAGCGCCAAAAATGTTATGTAAAAAATATTTAATTTAGGGTAATTAATTAATTTTACATTTAAAATATTTAATGTGTTTAAGTATTTGGTCCTAGCGTGTTAGGCTAATAGACCAGGAACTTCCGAGTTTTAGTTTATTGAGAATGATAAGTTTGTTTGAATAAATTGATGTAGTTGAATAATTTTAATACATATATTGTTTAAATCAAAAATTAATATCATTAGTTAATTTACAATAGTTACAATTATTACACAGTGATTGAAGTTAACTTTTCTTTCATATAACGATTTTACAATATTACCAAATTCACAAATATTAATAATTTAAAATATACCTGATAAAAAATTGATGAACCTTGTTGATTTAATTTATTTTAGTTGGTTTCACTTTACGATTTTACTTTACCTTTACAAATGTCGTTTTACTTTTTATACAATAGATTTACACGTGGTCTATTGAGACTTATTTAAACTATGTACGATGTTAACACTAGGACGTCAGGACAACGAGAGAGATTTTTTGGTGACAATTGCAAGGTGTCGAATTTTAGGGCGTTACTAATTTCTACTCATTGGGGGAAACAAATGTCCAATTATTTGTCTATTTTCTCGGGCCCTTACCCTCTCTCTTAAATTTGTCTAAAAATGTTGCATGAGTCCCTCTACTTGGGTCTGAGTGCAACATACTTTTTCACTTACTCTTATTTTCTATTATTCATCTATGTGTTTGTGTATACGTAAGCGCATTTACGCATAGACAAAGACATACATTTGTACTGTCTACATTAATTTATTTATTAAAATCATATGAATAAATATGTACTCGAATAATCTAACATTTCTTACGTTTCCTTGAATTTAATTATTTATTTGTAGAAATATTTCTGTTTTATCGTTTTATAAATTTGTTGTATTATTTTAGAATTCAATTGTTTAAAATTTGTTTATTTTAAATTATTTAACTTTCAAGTTCTATTTTTTTTATTTGTTTCTCATTTCATATTTAATTTTTGTTGTCTAAAAATTATTTCGGAAATTGCAATATTAAAATTTATTTCGATATTTTTCTCAACATTAAATTTTTGTCATCAAATTATTCTAAAATCTTTTGGTTTAAAATAAATCTTTTTATCTAATGTTCTTTATCTTTAAGTATTTCTTATTTTAAGTATAAATGAGTTTGCTTACGAATAACAAAACTCCCATTCATCTATTTAATCTCTTTAAAATACCTGGGCCCTCAGACTAATTACGGGAATTTCCCTGGGCCTTTTGCAAAAATCGAACGAGACACTTAATGACCGCACTTAAATTAGCTTTAACAATCGTTAAAAACGAAATAAAATTATACTCGATTTTTATAGTTAATAAATATGTAAAGAAAAATTTCTTTACATAACAAAGGATTTATTTTGTTATTTAGAAAATAGATTTAGTTTTAAGTAACTTCGTTTTGAATAAATAGTTTGTTTATTTTTTATACTTGCTGATTTAATAATTGTTTAATTAACGTTAGTTACTTTCCTCCTTTTTCTTTCTTAATATTAGTATAATATATTGTTTTTTTCCTTGAATACCTGCAGATCGGCCCTGAAAATCAAAGGGTTTGTTGTTTCCCTAGTTAAAAGAACAACTGGCGTCCAAAATTGTGCACTAACCTAGCTTGAGGAAGAGCTGCGGGTTGCTTGGGAGGCGAAGAGTTACCTCCCAAGTCATTTTTGGTTTATTTAATTTAGTTTTATCGCATATTGGGTGACCTGGACAAAAAATAAATAACAACCGGCATCTCCACCATCGGTTGAAATTTATTTTATTGTTACACAAGGTCATTTCTCAATTATGTTTAGAGATGGAGCATTTTCGAATGTAACCTAAATATCTATCATCATAAATTGACTATCGACGAGAATGATATGAAATCTTGAAAAGGCACAAATTCAAATCATGTCCTTTGCAATGACACTTCATTTCACTAAAAAAATCGATTTCATCATGTGACTATCCAAGAGACAAAATTGTTCTTATTCTCTTAATAATATAAATTATTATTATTATTTAATTATTATTGTTGTTTTAACCATTATTACCTGCTACATGAATCTTCCACACGAATGTATCATGTGGCAGTCCCAATTTTTTTTCCGCGTAAGATTTAAACCTATGTATTGTGGGAACCATTCCTATACTATTATGGGAATGGTTCCCATAAATTAGGGAAACCATTCCTATAATAGTATAGGAATGATTCCTATAGCATTATGGGAACCATTCCCATAATGGTATAGGAATAGTTCCCAATGGGAACTTCCCATAATTTTCTTTCCGTGTAGAGACTACTGAAACGCCATCTGATGCCGCGATAGTAATTTATTTTTCATCGTTCAAGTGAATTCATACACTAAAAACAACGATCAGTCCTAACCCTTATTTATTTATGTCGCAGAGCAACTGTGTTAAACGCAAAAAAAAGTGTAATTAAAAAAAAAATTATTTATTATATTCTTCTCAAACTTCATTCCCAGAGCAGTAGTTGTAAAAAGTATTGTATGCTACAGGTGGGATAAATAGTAAATATGACAGTCGTGATTACGACATTCGCTGTAAGGTTTATGAGACACTCGTCTTCATACGAATGCCCCATAAACCTTGTAACAGGGTAATATGTAGGGTAATATGTATTGTAACAGGTAATATTACCCTTAATCGATAAGTAGCCAGAGATCGATAACTTTTCGATTAGCACTGGTGCGCATCGATCTTCGGGCCTAGAGAGAGAGAGTAGGAGGGGGTATTTTGGGAGGTCGTTATATGGGTGAGCCATGCGTTGTGTCGGGAGAAGTAGTGAAGTGCTCAAACTAGTAACATCCAAAAGTCCAAGAAGGAAGCCCGGGAATTCTTCAAGCCAAATTTACACCAGGTATTAGGACTTTGATATTGATGAGCCGCGGAGCCAAATACTCGGCTCATCAAATTACTACTTCTCATTTTAATTTGATAATTCAATTGTCCAGTAATAATTTATTTAATAATAATGATATAATTATTTAACTGTAATTCAATTTGATTCGTTAGTTGCGGTGAGCGTTCCTCTTGGGGGTTTATACCCGAAGAATGTTCAAGACCTTGCGGTGTTATTTGTCGTGAGAAATTAATTATTAATTTGCTCGAGTAATAATTTTTAACATCTAAGAGATCGGTTTAGTTGCATTTATTTTTAGTGATAAATTAAAACCGAATTATCAAAGATCAAGAAAATTCCAACTGTCTGCTCACCGACTAGTCAAGCGTCGGTCGCATTACAACGCAATAACGTATACCCGAGGTCAAAGCTTTATTACGCACTTACAAATGCCGGCGTCCATTGTGACCGCGCAAATTCCTGGCAATTATATTACGCAGTAATTTATAAAATTTAACAACTGAATTATTATTACAAAAATTGAATTATCATTATATTATTTACTACAATGAAATAATTATTTATATTATATTATTTATTGAAAACTATTTTTATTGTTGAAAATTATTTATTGAAATTGCGGAGCAATTTAAGATTTATATACCCGTGGATAATTTTTCGTAAATTATTTTACATTGAGATAAATTCATTGTTAATTATTTGTCTAGTCGGAAAATTCCACGCGGTTATTTTATATTGAAATCAAATTTTGAAAATTTAATTAATAATTTTAAATTTCATCATCTTGGGGAAATTCTTAGAATTTAATTTAACAAACATGGATATTAAATCCGGGAATTTCAGTTAGTTAAATTTAATTGATGAAATTTTATAATAATAATTTTATAATAAATTTACGAGTTAAATTGGAATAAATTGATGCATTGAAAGTTCCAGAAATTTCTTTTATGTTGAGTATTAAACTCGTGTTGATTTGGAATAAGTTCACGCGTCGGTTTAGTTCGGACATTTGGAAGTTTTAGTTCGGAAATATTTGGTAATCTATTGTTAGCTAATGACTGAATAATTAGGTAAAAATTAATGTAGTTAATTTTTGGAATTAAATCTTGTGATATTTTTATAAATAAAAGTAAAGTCAGAATGTGTGTGCGTGCGGGTTATGTGTGTGAAGATGCGTGGGTTATGTGTGTTTGAGTGTCTAACGATCTCTACTTGTTGATGAATTGCCGAGTAGAGTAATTCATACTGTCTTAGAGCGTGAGGGTCCGGTGGACAGCGCGACGTAGTTAGAAACTGCGGTATAGACGCTCCATATGAGGGTACCGTCAGGAATAAGACACTTTTATTAGAAACTACAGTATAGACGCTCCGTGTGAGGATACTGTAGGATTAGGAATCCTGTAACGGTCTCTACTTGTTGATGAATTGCCGAGTAGAGTAATCGGTACAGGATATTATTGTTAAGTTGGAAATAGTATATTGTGTAACATGGGACCAAAGTACTATTTTCTGTCCCGGGTATGGGATTGCCACCTTCGCCTTCGGCTCGGGTGGCAATCCCATACCCGGGACAGAAATG